TAAATTTTTCATATATTTTAAAAATTGCGTAACGCTTTCTTATATTTTAACAAACGCTATATGAAACGTTTTATATAAAGTTTTTTAAAGTATAATGAGGTTCATGCCATTTTTAAAGTATGAGAATTTACTCTGAGTTTCGAAATAATAAATGAGTTCTTGATAATTTTTTCTAATAATAATAATAATTTTGTCTAATATTTATTATATTTTATAGTGCAAAAAATAAAATAAAATAAAAATAAAAGACTCCTAAATATATATAAATGATCTACTCTGATTTTTTTACCTATAATATAATATAATATAAATTATTAAATAAAATATATTTTGTTTTAGAATTTTTAGATAAAATATCAATAATAGTATTAATATTAACAATCTTAATACAAAAATTAGGCCCTAAATATGTATAAATAATATATCTTTTATTTATAATAAAATACTATAAATAATTAAATAAATAAATTTCATATTATTTTTATATGTAAATAAAACTTAACCACTAAACAACACTCTTATATTAATACATTAATGTCAAATAATTTATATATATATAATTTATATATAACATAAATAAATAATGAGCCCCAATAAATTGAGCCCTGGGCAAAAGCCCCTTTTGCCCGGGCCCAGGAACGGCCCTAACGGTGAAGTGTGTAACCATTATTTATAAATTTTATAATTGGTACATAAAATTTTTTAGCATATATAAGTGTGTCTAAGTATGTATATTAGTAAATATATGTTATATATATATATACTAGTACTTGTGAGCACGGCTAAGCCGCGCAAGTTTTTGTTATGGTAGAATATTTTATTAAATAAGTAATTCCTACAAACTTATATATATACTGAATTGGTCGGATGGAGAACCGTCCAATAGCTAGTCGGTTGGATAGAAAGATGAGAAAAAAAATATAATAAATTATATAAATATATACTTCGATAATTTTTTTATTCTATTAAAAAATATTTTCTACAAAATTATATATATAATGAATTGGTCGGATGATAAGGAGGAGAACCGTCCAGTAGGTAGTCGTTAGGGATAGAAAGATGAGAGAAAAAAATATAATAAATTATATAAATATATATTTTTAATTTTTGTGCAACCAACCAATTTAAAAAATATATATTTTTCTTTGGATAATTTTTTTTCTATTTTATTAAAAAATTATTTTTCTACAAAATGATATATATACTGAATTAGTCAGATGAGATGGGGGAGAACCATCCCGTTAGTCGGTTGGGATAGAAAGATGAGAGAAAAAATTATAATAAATTATATAAGTATATATTTGTTACGCACAAAAAATAATAATAATAATGATAATGGTAGCAGGGTCTTAAAGGACGTCAGTCAAAAGAAGGTCGGTCGAAAGAAGGTTGGGCGAAAGAAGATGAGACGGACGATAAGGAGGTACGGCCAAATGAGGTCGGTCGAAAGAGGAAGTCGGACGAAGAAGGACGGCTGATACGAAGGTCGGACCAAATGAGGTCGACCGAAGAAGGCTGAGAGGGCCGATACAGAGGTCGGGACAAATGAGGTCAGGCGAAGACGGATGACACGGCCGATACGTAGGTCGGGCCAAATGAAGTCGGATGAGAAGAAAGGAGGAGAAACGTCCATTAAGTAGTCGGTTGGGATAGAAAAATGACATAAAGAAATATAATAAATTATACTTGTTAGGTACAAATAATAATAGTAATAAGGATAATGGTAGCAGGGTCAAAATAAAAAGGTCGGTTAGAAGAAGGACGGTCGAATGAGCAGGTCGGATGGTCTGCAGTCAGTTAAGCAAGTCGGTTGGTGTGCGTTTGGGTTCGGCGTCAGATGTCCCGCGGTCGGATAGGCAGGTCGGGAAGCCCGCGGTCGGATAGGCAGGTCGGGAGGTCCGCGGTCGGATAGATAGGTCGGTTGGTCCGCAGGCGGATAGCAAGGTCGGTTGGTTCGCAGGCGGATAGACAGGTCGGGAAGGTTCGCGGTCGGATAGGCAGGTCGGTTGCTGCGAATATCAAGTGGGAGGAACAGTAGTTTGGTCGCTTGGTGGGTGCGGCCAAGAAATCGTTTGGTCTAGAAAGAGGAGAGAAAGAAATATAATCAATTATATAAATATTTTTTTTATATCTGTGCAACCAACCAATTTAAAAAAAAAAATTCTTTCTATAATTTTTTTCTATTTTATTAAAAAATTAATTCCTACAAACTTATATATATACTGAATTGGTCGGATGGAGAACCGTCCAGTAGCTAGTCGGTTGGATAGAAAGATGAGAGAAAAAAATATAACAAATTATATAAATATATATTTCGATTATTTTTTTTATTCTATTAAAAAATATTTTCTACAAAATGATATATTGACAAGGAGGAGAACCGTCCAGTAGGTAGTCGTTAGGGATAGAAAGATGAGAGAAAAAAATATAATAAATTATATAAATATATATTTTTAATTTTTGTACAACCAACCAATTTAAAAAATATATATATTTTTCTTTGGATAATTTTTATTCTATTTTATTAAAAAATTATTTTCTACAAAATGATATATATACTGAATTGGTCGGATGAGATGGAGGAGAACCATCCCGTAGGTAGTCGGTTGGGATAGAAAGATGTGAGAAAAATTATAATAAATTATATAAATATATATTTGTTACGTACAAAAAATAATAATAATAATGATAATTGTAGCAGGGTCTTAAAGGACGTCGGTCAAAAGAAGGTCGGTCGAAAGAAGGTTGGGCGAAAGAAGATGAGACGGACGATAAGGAGGTACGGCCAAATGAGGTCAGTCGAAAGAAGAAGTCGAACGAAGAAGAACGGCTGATACGAAGGTCGGACCAAATGAGGTCGGCTGAAGAAGGCTGAGAGGGCCGATACGGAGGTCGGGATAAATGAGGTCGGGCGAAGACGGATGACACGGCTGATACGGAGGTCGGGCCAAATGAGGTCGGATGAGAAGAAAGGAGGAGAAACGCCCATTAAGTAGTCGGTTGGGATAGAAAGATAAGATAAAGAAATATAATAAATTATACTTGTTAGGTACAAAAAATAATAATAATAAGGATAATGGTAGTAGGGTCAAAATAAAGAGGTCGGTCAGAAGAAGGGAGGTCGAATGAGCAGGTCGGATGGTCTGCAGTCAGTTAAGCAAGTCGGTTGGTGTGCGGTCGGGTTGGCATCGGATGGTCCGCGCTCGGATAGGCAGGTCGGGAAGCCCGCGGTCGGATAAGCAGGTCAGGAGGTCCGCGGCTGGATAGATAGGCCGGTTGGTCCGCAGGCAGATAGCCAGGTCGGTTGGTCCGCAGGCGGATAGACATGTCGGGAAGGTTCACGGTCGGATAAGCAAGTCGGTTGCTGCAAAGATCAAGTGGGAGGAACATAGTTTGGTCGTTTGGTGGCCAAGGAATCGTTTGGTCTAAAAAGAGGAGAGAAAGAAATATAATCAATTATATAAATATATATTTTTTTATTTCTGTGCAACCAACCAATTTAAAAAAAAAAATTCTTTCGATGAGAATGAGGAGAACCGTGCAGTCGGCTGGCATACGGACTCTCAGACGGTCTCTTGGTATAAGGACTGTTTTTTTATATCTGTGCAAGCAACAAATTTAAAAAAAAAAAATTCTTTCGATGAGAAGGAGGAGAACTGTGCAGTCGGCTGGCATATGGACTCTCAGACGGTCTCTTGGCATAAGGACTATCAGACGGTCTCTTGGTAAATATATGTATTCAACAGCCGTCCGGTCGGCCGCAAATTTTTTTTGTTTTGCGTGCCCACCAAATTCAAAAATCCCTACATTAGTTTCAGATGCATTTTTTAATACATCATAGATTTAAAATATTATAATTAAATTATTGTATTAAAGTAAATTTTACGATCTACAAAATGATATCCATATCAGTATATTTTCTACAACTAAATCACTACAAATTAACTAATGGAATTGGAAAAAGACAAACCTCAACAATACCCAATATCGTCACTATAACTGACAACGTGGAGGTAAATTTACAAATTTAGCCATACTAACTGATGTAAAGATACAAGATAATTTAGTAGGAGGGGTGAAATAGTAATTTTATGTAGCCATTTTCACACCTTGGTATATGTAAGTATTAGGATATATAGGTTTGGGTTTAGTTGGAGCAATAATTTATTTTATATATATATATATATATATAGGTTTGGGTTTAGTTGGAGCAATAATTTATATATATAATTGGTGGTGAATTGCATAACTATAATTTTGATTCTTTAAATTTTTATTATACACATAAGGCAAAATTGTTCATAATTTTCAGATGATTTTGAAATTCAGCGTAAACTCTCTTATATTTTAAAAATTGTATAACACTTCCTTATAATTTAAAAAATGTTGGATGAAACCCCACCATAAAGAAAAATATAGATGAGAAATCATATTTTAAGGAACAAACAATGCCACAACTTGACTATAGCCAAGTTGACAATGCGATTTGAATGTTTGTGCGATGTTAGCAATACTAATAGTGATTTTTATATTTTATTTTATTTTGAATTTGAATTTTGATTTAAATAATATTATAATATGATATTTTATAAAAATAAATAGTTTATTTAATAAAAAATTGTAAAATTGTGCGATAAAAAAAACAAAAATTGAATGAAAATAGTGTTGAATTAGGAGGAGCAAAGAATGGTAATATAAGGAATATTTATTCTTAGAAATTGAAAAACCAGAAGTAGTGTTATTTAATATGATGAAATGGCCTTTTTATATGCAATGTATAAATCTGAACTAATTGCTTAAAAATAGCAACAATAAAAGAAAATAGACTCAACTACTACCCACGACTCTTAATCATGCAACTAAAGAAAGAAAGCAAACAATTAAATTAGAACTTAGTCTTCCATTTATTTTGGTGTTGATTGTCAACACTCCGCCCTAACACCAACATAAGAACTTTGCTATGCCAAGCTGCTCATAGAATTTCCAGAATAAAACACGATTCAACCATTAGGTGAACAAATCTGCAATTTGATCTTCGGTTCCAATGGGTTGCATGCCAATTTCTTCTTGCAAACCTTCTCCCAAATGAAGTGATACCGGACAACGACATGCTTTGTTCTTGCGTGAAAAATTGGATTCTCTGTCATATATATTATTGAATGATTGTCCCAATACAAGGGAACAACATATTTGACAGGTTGGACAGGATCACTTAACCGTTGCCTAAGCCATGTGCATTCCTGGGCTGCCATTGATGCAGCTCGGTATTCCGCTTCAGTAGTTGAGAATGACAGTGTTTGTTGTCTTTTGCTGCACCACGAGACAGCCCCACCGCCTAGCATGAACACATAACCGGTGGTAGATCTCCGAGTATCATGATCACCGGCATAGTCTGCATCACAATAGCCAACCAGATTACAATCTCCACATTTCTTAAAGAATATGCTATAACCAAGGGTAGCTTTAACATATCTTAAAAGTTGACGAACAATTTCCAAGTGAGTTCGCTTAAGACAGTGCATGTACTGACTAAGAAATGTCAGGTCGAGTGATTAGGTAGATTAAACTACCAACTAGTTGTCGGTACATAGTTGCATCTTCCAAGTCCTTACAATTATACATCCCAAACTTTGTCAATAGGCTTTTGGAGTATTTTGTTGATGGAGAAGAGTTCCTTTTGAAGTATGATCGATTTTTAAACATAGAAAGTGCTTGAGGTGACCAAGTTCTTTCATGTGGAATCGAGTAGATACATTCGCCTTTATTTGAAGGATTTCTTCCTTATAATCTCCTGTCAAGATTAGGTCATCTACATACACCAGTAAAATGGCTGATTATCTGTCATTAGTTTTGACAAATAAACTTGAATCAGAGGGTGCCACAACATAACTGTTATGGATTAAAAATTCACCAATTTTACCATACTATGCCCGCCGGTGCCTGCTTTAATCCATAAATCTCTTTTCGTAGCTTACACGCATATTCAACATGATTTTGACTTTGAAACCCCATAGACTGATTCATATAAATTTCCCGATCCAACTATCCGTGTAGAAATGCATTCTTCACGTCCAATTGCCACATATTCCATTCCTTGGCAATCACAAGAGCAAGTAGGATTCGAACAGTGCTAAGTTTGGCTACGGGACTAAACTTCTCATCATAGTCTAGTTCATATTGTTGAGAGAACCCTCGAGCAACCAAATTTGCCTTGTACCTTTCAATCAATCTATCCGAGCGACGCTTTATCTTAAAAACCCATTTGCAAGAGATTGGTGTCACGTCCTTTGATTATTGATTACCGCAACAACTTTTTCCTCTATTGCTTTGATCCGTTTGGAATTTCAGTTGCTTCTTCAAATGTATCCGGTTCTCGTTCATCTTTGTGAACTTCTACTATCGCAGTATTGGCATACTTGGGATTTGGCTTACGCATTCTCATCGATCTTCTCAAGGTATTATGAGTGCTAGGCTCGCCATCCTCACTTGATTGCGGATACACACCTATTTTCCATGGAGTCACAGCTGCAACTTCATCACTTCCACAGTTTTCATCTCCAAAATTTTCAAAATCAAGTTGAACATGGGATGATTGTTGCACGTTTTTACGAATATTTTGTTCTGGAAATCCATAATTGCTTGAAGGCCACCATGAAGAGGTTTCATCAAATACTACATTCCGAGAAGTGTAGCATTTTCCGGTTGTTGGAGCACAATATTTTCACCCATTTCTATGACTGTCATAGCCTACAAAATATACACTTCACAACTTTTTTGTCCAATTTAGTACGCAATTGATCCGACACAAAAACGTAGCACACACAACCAAATACTCGAGAGTAACTAACCATAGGGTTTGTGTTCCACAACTTTTTGAAAGGTGATAGAAAATCCAACATTTTTTGAGGGAGTTGATTAATAACGTAGGCTGCAATACTCATTTGACCCAAAACCTTCCTGGAACATTTTTTCCATCTAACATGCTTTGACAAATTTCAGTAAGGTGTCTATTCTTTCTTTTTGCCATGTCGTTCTACTGTGGTGAGTTTGCGTATGCAAATTGATGACGAATTCGACAATTTTGCATAGAATTGAAGATCTCACTAGAATTATATTCGCCTCCATTGTCGGTTCCCATACAGAGAATCTTCTTATCAATTTCAGCTTCAACCTTTTCTTTAAAATCTTTGAATTTCAAGGATGCATCAGATTTAGCTTTCATAAAGTAAAACCAAACAAACATTGAAAAATCATCAATAAAGGTTATTATATACTTCATTCCACTTATAGGTGGTTGGTGTACCGGTCCGAACACATCGGAGTGGACCAATTCCAATGGTTCCTTTGCCTGAAATGTTGATTCTTCGTATGACAGCTGGTGTGCGTTTATGTATTAACACCCTGAACATATCGTAATTGTTCTCACCTCAATTTTGGGAAGACCTCTCAGCATAGACCTTTTCATGATGACATCTAGCTTAGAATAGCTAATGTGACTTAGGTGCATATGCCATAAATCTGCCGTTTCATTCTTTCGAGTCTTCTTTACGTATACAGACTCTGCTGACATCACATAAATTAACTCTAACATTTTTCTCTGCATTGTTGGTTCTTCCAAAATATTGAGATCTGGATATACTTTCACATCTTTTGGAGCAAAGAGAACATAGAGCCTTAAAGATGTTAGATGTGCCACGGATAACAAGTTTTTCTCCATTCCTGGCATATGATAAATATTTTCCAGAAACACAAGATCAGAGTTGCAATGAGAAGCATAATTGTGTTACTGATGTGAGCAATTCCCAATTTTGAATTGTCCGTTGTCACCACCACTCGATTACCATCGTACGTTGACACATTTTGCAATTTATCTTTGTTTCCTGTTATATGGTTTGAACATCTTGAATCGATGATCCAATCATCTTCGTGATCGACTTGCTTACATATTGTAGTAAACACAAATTCTGCTTCACCCATGAATAAAGCCTTAGCATCCCATTCATCTTCAATTTTAGAGGTAGCGGTATTACTTTCGACAACCTTCTATTTCGACCAACAATTCTTGGACTTGTGACCATACTTACCACAATTATAACACTTTCCATCAAATCTTTTGTTAGTGTTACAGTGTTTTGATGCTCCCCCAACATGAGATTTACCTCTGTTTTTATGATTCTTCATTTTAGCTTTGTATCATTTGGATCCGCCATTATTGTGCTGCACAGAATTTCATTTGCTATTTTTTTACAAAGAGAGCCTCCTCTTCGGCCTTGATTGGAACTCCTCCTATTTGATTTGCCATAGCTTCTTGTCCTGCAAGCAAATTTTCAAACTCAACAACAGATGTTTGATTTGCCACCCTTGTACAGCAGCCAGAAAACTTCTAAACTCCGGTCTCAAACCATGAATGATAATCCGTTTCATCCTGGTTTCTCCGAATGGAGCCGTGCTATGCACGGGATAATTATAAATTTTATTGTTATTATTAAGTATATAACGTTTTAATATAATAATTATTTTAATGAGTTTAAATATTTAACACGATAAATTTTAAGTATTCTAAATATTGGAGATTTATAAATTTTATCGATTAAATATAAATATAGAAAAAATAATATCCATATATAATATTACCAGTGTCTATTCATATTTTTATAAGCAATTTTTAAATTATAATTTAGTTGAAAATTGTGTCGATAAAAAATTTAAAATGTCTGAACAAAATCAACTTTTACAAAAACTATAAAAATGAAAAATTGATCAATTATTCATTTATTTATTTAACTAAAAAAAACCATTTAAGATTTTACCTCTTTTATTGTATAAAACTTGCATAATTTAGGTTCATATTTACAACCAAATATCAATTTTGAAAAAAAAAAAAATTGGTGTTATGTGCAAATTTTACATTAACATAAGAGAGTTTTACGCAATATAGAACACATGGTGTTTTGTGCATTTAAAACATTAATGGATGTTATATAATTTACCCTAGAAAATAAAGTTTCTTTACTAAATATAAATTCTATTACATATCACAATATTTATTTTTATTTACATTGATATATCAAAGTAAAATATGATGATAATTCCAATAAAATTGAAAATTATGATGACAAAATAATATATACATACAAAATTACTATTTTCTTCAGTCCACATGTCATATTTTTCATTTACGTCTTTTTCATATTTCATGTATTTTTATTGTCTTAAAAAATTATTACACACGTTAATCATATTTTAAATTTTATAATTTGTAATTTTTTAACTTTAATTAAATTAATTTGTTACCTTAGCATTAACCTATAATTATTTGCATTATATTATAATTAATTTTTTTTAATACATTTTTAATTATTTATTAATTATATTCATAAATTTTCTTATGAATAGTAACTACGATGTTATATTCGGAACAGAGGAGTATTAAAATATAATAGATTTTTTTTTTTCAAAAAAAATATCAAAAAAATATATTTATTTATATAATATATTACATTTTTTCATTTAAAAATATCTATTTAATTTTATTTATATATAAATTCAATAATTATTTTAAGTTAAATTTTGACATACAAAAGAATATTAAACAAATAATAATATAACACAATATTCTATCTGTCTCAAAAAATTATGTTATTTGTTCTTTTTCTTTAATTTTTTGTTAAACTTATATACAATTAATTTATAGTAAACAATTTTATCATACTATAATTTTATTACTCATACTTTAACAAATAATAATCAAAATTGTCACTATTTTTTTTAATTATTCCACAATTTTTTTTATAAATTATTTTGATAAATCTATCATAATATCCTCATTTTAGTTTTTAGATACCTCATATTTTTATTAAAATATCATTATTTATTTGGCTCAACTTCCAAACAAATGTACACTATTTTACCGAACGAAAATAATAATAAATAATTATTGTTATGGCTCACCTTAAAACAAAAATTCTGAATTCTCACAATTTCATCTTCATGTTAACACTCTTACTGTTTTAAGGTGCAATGTAATAAATAATAATCAAGTTGTTACTATGTTTTTATATATTCCATTTTTTTATGAATCATTTTAATAAATTTATTATAGTATCCCCACATTGTTCTTTTTAAATATATCATTTTAAGATTAAAATATTATTATTTTTTAATCTCAATGACAAACAATGCCACATGATTAATAATATATAATTATAGTAAACAAAGCTTTACTTTATCCCGAATTATAATAATATATAGTAAATACATAATTAAGTCGGATAAAATAATATTATCCATTGTAATCCTCCAAAGTAAACACATCCTAGAAGTATTAGATTATACTCTATTTTGTTCAAACAAATAATATATTCTTCGTTAACATTTTTCTATTTTATTTGACATGTTTTTACATTTTTTAAAATTACTAATTCAAAATATATTTAATAAATATAAATCAATTTAATTAACTTCGTAATATATATAATTATATATTATGTATATATTTAACAAATAGCGGCTGCGGATTCTCACGTCATAAAAAAATAAAAAATAAATATATATATTAATAAATTTAATTAAGTTGATAACATCTACTGTAATCTAAATTTGTACTCACTTTTCTTTTTTTTATCTAGCACTTACAAATATTATCTTTTTGACACTCTCATATACCCTTACTATTACAAAAATATTTTATCATTTGCATTTGAATGATAAAAATTTCAAAATTCTCTTTTACACTTTCAAATAAAATACTCCATCCGTTCCATTGAAAAGTTACCATTTTTCATTTTTGTCCGTCTCAAAACAAGGTTATCATTTCCTAATTTAGTAATTGTACTACCTACTTCACATAATAAATACCATTTCAACTTACAATATATTACACAAATACCATTACTTTCATATTACATCATACTAATAGAGATATTTTTGTCTTTTTTACTACAATCCAATATAATACTAATATTAAAAAATTTACGTACAAAAAGCAAACGCCACCCTTCTTGCGGGACGGAGGGAGTATAATTGTTGTTTAATACACTAAAAAACAAAGAATTTTTTTATTATTATTTTTTACTATTTCAAAATAACATTAGAATAATTTATAATAATACTTATTATTAAATGTGGACTCATATTGAAAAATTATATTTTAAATAAAAAAAATAAATTATATGAGAGGATCAAAGTAAAAATAATTGACAAATTAAATAAAATAAAAGAAAGTAAATCATTTATATAATTAATTATATTTATAAAATTAAATATAAATATAAATATACAATTAGAAATTATATATAATAATAAATAATAATAATAATCCAGCCGTATTTTCCAATCTTTCCTCCCCATTTTCTTTTATTCTTATTATTATATTATATTTAAGTAATGCCCACATCAAAAGTATAGAAAAAAAAAAAAAAGAAAATCAAAGTGGCGAATTGGCACATCACTTTGGTCGCCACATCTATATAATATACGATACCATAGGGTTGGTTTGGTTAATTCTTCAAATAAATTTTTATAGTATTTGATTCGATAAAAATATTTATTTTATATAATATTGTATTAAAAGATTATTTTAATAATTTCCTAGTTAACCCCAATATTTTCTCAACTATTCCTAATTTTCTATTATGCTAAATAACTGAGCCGTTCAAATATATTACTACCATAATATTTCCATATAATTTTTGTAACAGACAATTCAACAGTCAATATTTCTCTTCAAAAGTTGAAGTGAGACTCGAAAAATTCAAAAAAGTTAGGTCATGACAAATAATAATAATAATAATAATAATAATTTGAAGAAGAAACAAGAATAGTTAAGAGGATAAGTTTGTTCACTAAACAAATTCTTTTGCTCTTTTTTTTTATTATTATTATTTCAATTTTACAATTTCTTAAAAAAATATATTATCTTATCTTACAAAATATTCCTTCTTCATTTTCATGAATACCAGTTCCTCTCACTGATTAGATTTGGTATTTGCGTTACCTGAGACTTTGAATATTTTGTTTAATTTTTGTTAATCTCATATATTTATTTGTTCAAATTTCTGAATTTATTATTTTACGATTATTGGATTGAAGAAATATTTGGATTTAATATATTTTTTGATTTAATAGTTGAATGCCAATAGTATTTGTATATGTACTTATTTGAATGTGTGGTATCCGAGTTGATCATTTTTTCCATGTATAATTATACAGCCGAATTTTGTACTATTCATTGTAGATTGTAGTTATTCGAATTGAATTTTTCTGGATTTGTAATATAGTAATGGGGCAACTGAATTCCTATGGTGGTTGTTAAGTATGATTAGAAACGATGAATTATTTATCTTAATTAATTTCCGATGCTATAAGGAAAAATTGAATATTGTTAACAATTTTGTTTGGTTTTGGTTTAAAATTAATTTGGAATGAGGTTTTGATTTGAATTTTTTGATTAAATAGTTTTTTGATTTGATATTTTATGAAAAAATAATATATTTTTATTAAAAAATATAAATAGTAGTAATTTTTTTTAGTTTGAAATCACATAAAAACAAACTTGATATCCTCGGTTTATTGTTGATTATAAGAATTGGTTTAATTAAATCAATGCTCGATCAAATCATGTATTCTATTCTAAAAATAATTTCTTAGACAAGAATTCTTCATTTAAATTGTTTTAGTCAATTCCTAGCTAGGTTGTTTAGTCAAGTCAATTAAAAACTTTCCCTTTATTTATTTTTGTTTCTAAATTAATGAATTTTTTTTTTTTTTTTTTAATGGAGAATCATGTCATTAATATACAAAATATATTGTTTCTCAAATTTTGACTTTTTTATAAGTGAATAAAATATATATTATATATGGTGTGGATGAGTGTATATATACTATATTATTTTAGTAATATTAATTGGAAATCGTATTACTAACAAAATTTGAATGAACAAACTTCTGTTTATTTGGAGTTAGGTTTGAATTTATGTATTATGTAACTTTTATAATTTTTAATAAAAATATATTACTTAAGAAATATAATATAAAAATTATTCTTTCACTCTCTACATATTTTTATACAGCATGGTCAAATCAATAGATCGATTTATTCGAGTTTGACCTGATCGAGCATTGTTGCAAACCGAATTGGCAATGCCTGTGATTGATGAATTTTGTAGTACAATACAAAATTCAGTTCTTTTTTTTTTTTTAACTTACTATTTCTTATAAATATTTATATATATAATATATATATATATGTGATGTTGAGCAACACTAAATATATGGCATATGTAAAATACAGGAGAATTATTAAAAACCAATGTTTTATTTCATTAAATCATACAAAAATATTATTAAACCACATGAAACAACATTGTTGAATACTAAAATATAATCGCACACAAAAAATAGCCGCAACGGATTCTCACGTCATAATATATATAAATAAAAATTCCGAATTCCACCTAAAATTATCCCAACTATTACTATTATGCTAATTTAATAAGTGACAGTATATGTTCTACGCCATATTAGCTAAGACGATTAAGGGGGTGTTTGGAAACAGCGTTTTGAAGAGCTTTTAGCCTATTGAACAGCTTTTAGCTGTTTGACCAGTCAAAAAACTAACTTAGGTGTTTGGTAAATTAGCTTTTTGAAAAAGTTTTTCAGACCCAAAAAGTTAATTTCTGAAAAGCTCATCTATCCAGCGTTTTGAAAAAGCTTTTTCATTTTAATTTTGGTTATTTCTTATTTATCCTTAAAACTTAATTATTTATTTTTTTACATATAAATATATTTTTATAGCAGTATTTATTAATTATTTTTAATATATTTAATTTATTAAATTATATTTTTATTTTTTGTAAATTTAAAATAATTACTATTATTAGTTATTAGATATAAATTATTTTATTTGTAAAATATATAATTTAAAAATAAATCAAATAGAAAAACAAAGATTATTAATTTATTTATATATATTAAAATAATAATTACCATAATAAAAATATATGTACGAAAGATTTATTATTTTATATTTTACATAATTTCAATAAAAAATTATTATTTTTTAGTAAAAATAATTTTTTCAGATCTAAATAATAAAAATAAAAATAAAAATTTTATAATATTTTTATAATTTTCAATAATTAATAACAAAAATTCTCATAAATTTCAAACCAAAATTAACAAAATTAAATATTTAAAAAATAACATATCAATGTCCTTAATAGTCATTTTACGTATAAACAGCTAATGTCAAACAGTTGTTTTACCAAACACTTTAATACAAACCGCTAATTGAATCAGCTAGTCAAACTAGCTAATTAAATCAGCTAATAGCTAGCAGCTAATTGAATCAGCTAACAACTAAAAACTATCAGTTAATTGTCAAACGCACTCTAAATATATTATAATATGTACATAGAAAATTTTTACAAATAAGCCAACATTCAATATTTTTCTTCAAAGTTGTTGTGGGACTCCAAAAAATCAAAGAATTTAAGCCATGACAAAAATAATATCCTCCCTTCGTTTACCTCTAAGGTTTACATTTATTTTTTACGTATTAATATTTGAATTAAATTATTATATCAAAATATAATACAAATCAAGAGAAAAAGACAAAAATACTTTTATTTTAATACAAATATAATGAAAAATATAAAAATATTTTTAATGTTAAGTACAATAATGCAACAAAAAAAATATAAATCTTTGAGTTGGACATAGAGATTAATATTTTGAAGAAGAAAAAGAAAAATAAGAAAGAAGAATAATAATGATGCCAATACTAATCAAATAGTAGAATAATTGTTCAATAGAATTTCTTCACCAAAACTACTACCTGAACAAAAAATTAAGTAAAATGTAAATATAACATGCCCAAATCAAATAATTCTATTTTTACACGACAGAAAAATCATCAAATTACAAAAAAAAAAAAAAAATAGAGCCCATAATATAGAAAAACGCCACTCTAAACGATCTTGAATGACAAAAAAACCCTGTACATCATGATGAAGCAATGACTTCGGCTTGTTAGGCTGTTCCGAATCGTTCAAATCCGTCCAATTTCGAATATGAACACAAAGAAAAGAAGTTAGCAATGTTTGACTTTTTCAAAATAACAGTAAGATTTTAAAATAGTAAATGTTCAATAGTTATTTTAATTCATGGTCATTTGCATAAAAAAAATAAAAATAAAATAAAAATACAGAGGATAGAGACAACCATGGCTGTAAAACTTTTGATAAGTTCAAATCTCTACCTATAAATGTTACCATCAACATTCTATTTTTCTTACACATTGGATACACATTCCACACCTCGTGTTCTTTCTTCCCAAGTCCTAAAAAAATTGGAAAGATTAAGCTATGGGTGTCAAGAATTTCTTGCACGAACTTAAACTTAAAGTTTCTCCGTCTAGGATCTTCAAGGCCGTGACCACTGATGCCGATGATGTCCTCCCGAAAGTCATGCCAGGTGTCTTCAAGGATTCCAAGGTTATCGAGGGAGGTTCTTTTGTACCTGGTTGTGTCGTTGAGACAACTATCGTTGGTGGTAAATTTTACTTAAATATAAAAAAAATTGTATTTTTGATATGGTGTGTACGCTTGAATGTTTGATAAGATTATCATTTTTATCCTTTAATTTTACACTATTCTCATATATCTTTTAAGTCAGTCATAAGTCATTTCTTACCTTACTATGTATATGTTTGATTATCATTATTATTATTATTATTATTATTATTATTATTATTGATAATCCAATATATGTACTTGATTAAAATTTTATTATCCCTTTTTACAATTATAAAGATATATGCTAAGTCATAAGATTATGATTTAATCACACTATTCATCACATTGCTTTATACTTACTCCGTCCACACACAAAGTAAACACTTACTTTTGGCGTGGTATTTAAGAAATAATAGTATTTTAATTATAGTGGGTAGTTAAAAGTAATAAAATGACATTTTTGCCCTTCTTTTTTGGTGTAAAAGTAATGATCACTACAAGAAATTATCAATTTTGTAACGAGATTTTTTCGTTCCTAAGTTCACTTTCTTCGTTACTAATGATATTAGAGACGGAATTAGAGATGAAATTACGTTAGCTACGTGAACTTTAGGAATAGAATTCCGTTACAAATATACTATTTTTTTTGTACTGGATGTAATGTAAAGTAAAGGTATTTGTGGAAAAAAGTGAGGTATTTAATGAAATGTTTACTTTGTAATTGGACGTCCCAAAATAGAAATATGTATACTTTCTAGCTTGACGGAGGGAGTATTTCTTTAATTTAATTTAGAAGACATTTAATTCTTCCAATTATCAACATATTTCTTGCTACCATAACATTTTTTCGACATCATATACTCAAAAGGAAAAATCAGGAGTTCAATTATATATAATATAATAACGAGGAGATTACAATTTTCAAAATTTCTTTTTATATTTATACTGAAAATTAAAAAAAAAAACAATTCATGGATCATCTAAAACGGACCATTAAAGACTTCAAAGAATATTGATGACATCTGAAAAAATTTACACGATTTATGGAATTTTGTTTGTATATATAATTTTTTATAATTATTCTTATTTTGGGTAAAAAAAAATGATAATTATATTTTTTATCTACTATCCTTATTTGTTTGTTGCTTAAGCATATTTTGGCTAGACGCAATACATTAATTTATCTATCTATCAGGTCCCAATTTCAAGTTCAAAGTTGATGACATTGACATTGGAAAGTGTTATATCAAATACACGGAGCTCGAAGGAGAGAGAATCGGCGACAAGTTTGAAAAAGTTCACCACGAGGTCGCAACCGAAGCCTCGGGTGATGGAGGGTGTGTGATCAAGTTCAATAGTACCTATTTTGCAAAGGGCGATGTTGTGCCAAGTGATGAGGATATTAACACACACGTAAAGAAGTCATCTGCTTTTTATGCTGCCATTGCAGACTACCTCGTTGCCAATCCTCATGTTTGCGCATGATATGATCATAATACCCTTTTTTAGTCCACTCTCAATTGTTGTTTTTACTGTTGTTGTTGTTGGCATTGTCGTTGCCTTTAAATTTTCAACCAAGAAATGAATAAATGAGTGGACGGTATACAAGTTGAATGAATTCTTCTTAAATACTATTTAAAAAATACAATATACACACATTAATATAATATATAAAATATATATTTACTTACTCATAAAAAATCAACAATTCAACACTAAATATTACTCCCTCTGAACCGGATAAGTTGTCCACGTTATTGTAGATATGAGAATTTAGATAAAGTATAATTAGTAAATAATTAATAAGTGTATTAGTAAAAATAATTATAATATAATAAAAATAATTATAAATTAAGATTAAAATAACTAAATAACTTAATTAAGATTTAAACAAATATATAAATTATGAAATTTAAAATTTGATTAAAATGTATAATTACATTTCAAAAAAGAAATAACAAATTATATGGGACAGACGAAAAATAAAAAATATAAATAATTTATGTGGGACGAAAGGAGTAGGTTTTATATAATTAATTATTGAAGTAGTGTGTTTACTTCCCTTTATATACAATATTTTATTACTTCATCCCTCAACCAAAATTATACATGTACTCTCTCTTTTTTTTTTCTTTTTTTTTTTATTTTTTTTTATTTTTATGCATACTCTATTTTGTAGTAAATCACTTTATCTACCCACAATTTTATTATTCATATTTGAATAAATGATAATAATTTTTTTGTATTTTTTTTATTTATCCACTACTTTTTCATCTAGCACTTTCATAAATTTCATATAATACTACATTATAATACTATTACATAAATTTCCCATATGTAAGGAACTAAGTTTGTTCTTTTACCTTTTTAAATTCAAATCAAAATTATTTCTTCTAACAAAATATTAAATCAAAATACTATTTAAATAAAATATAATATAGAACCACTATATTATTTCAATTTTTCCAAAATTAAAAAGTTTACAATAATACAACGGTTGAAGAAAATTACCTCTGCCAAAAAAAACATTATTATTCAGTCCCTATTACAAATAAAGTAGACTGCACACCCTAATTTTGTATAATCTTTGCAAATAACTACCAATTTCTATTTTCCTATTATTACCCTTGCTTATATGTAAAAATACAAAATTACCCTCATCTTCTTCTCTCTCCAATTTCTCTTCTGATTACTGTATTTTCACACTATCATTTCTGAAAAATTCTTTTAAATTTTAAATACTAAAGATAGTGAAAACAATATTTATCAAATCGTTGTTGAAGGAACAGAATAAATATGTAGAGGAATGTAGTTATACTCTCTAAAATAAATTTTTTTTAAAAATTATTATTAGGTCAAAATTTTCTCAAATCATACAAATCCAACACTAATGGTGATTTCTTACCGTGATAATATTCTAGATATATGATTAAATTTATCAATTATTTGGAATTTGATAGCACAAAATTATTAATTAGTTTTTCGATCTGCAAATATGAAAGAGTGTTCTAATCACATATATTTGACCCTTGTTTCTTAGTAGGGTTTTTTTTTTTTTTTTTTTCAATATAGTTATCTCTCAATTTATTTGATTGTATTTGCTCAAATCTGAAAAGGAAAAAAATGATCATTTCCATTACACAATTGTAAAATTGGATACTATTCTGTAATTTCTAATTTTAATTGAATATGATATTTTGTAATACTTTTGTTTAGGGTCTATTATATGGCCACAACGGTATTAAAAATGGGTAATTGAATAGGTGAAATCTCTAATTTGTAATCTCAAAGTTTGATCGAATTGTATATATATCATACAACCAACTGTTTTGTTCTATTGGTGGATATGCATATCTTTTTGGGGCATATAATACTGCAATATGAGTTTATTGCACATTAATTGAGGTATTTACTAAAATTAATAAAGTATGTAGTATGTATATAAAAGTATACTTTATCAATACTTGGGTATATAAGGATCAATAGGATCTATCTTCAAAATGTGCAAAATTATTTGATTTTCAATGACATTCCAATCAATATATTAACGCATGATCTTAGTAAAATATATTTATTTCAATAAAATTTGGATAAAGAAGAAACAACCAACCGATTCTTACTAAATAAAATACAAAAGAATTATGGTATTGAAACAACATTATAAAAAAAAAAAAAAAAAACAACAACGTATAATTGAACAAATGACAAAACATCTCTAATGATTACGTATAATTGATTTTTCAATATTTTTATGGAATTATAAGATAACCTCTTTTATTTTATGCATGTATATTACATGATCAATTATTTTGTACAACTGAAGTATATAAATACTAAATACGAATATCTAAGTGTCATTCATAAGTATATATTTATCATTCAAGTACATATGGATCCGCAACTAGAGTTTATACGTTATAAACGAAAGTATATACTAGAAAGTTTAGATTATATGTCATGTTTACATATGTATATATTATCAATGCATAGATATATATATATATATATGGGTGCACTCTTAAAATTTTCATGATTATTTGATTTTCAATAATATTTCAATCAATATACTAACACCTAGCGTTTGTGCAATATATTTATTACTATAACCATAGATAGAAGTACAACAATCTGAGTAATAGATTTTTATTAATTAGAGACACAAAAAACATATGATATTATTACAATTTTGTTAGTAATGTTTAATTGAATACATACAAAAAGCTCCTCAATTTATTTTCAAAAATATTATTATGAAATTAAATTTAATTTAAATGACATGAGACTTGCATGGAATAAATATATATTTATAATATTTATAGCAAATAGGTACTCTCAAAAAATGAGTGAGAATATTATCCTATGAAATTTACCCCGGTAAAAATATCACGAGTAATTATATAGCTATCAAAATTCTCGGTTTTCCAAATTGATGTTACATAGGCATAAATATGCGTGTCTGGAGTATTTAAAAATGTGTACATGAGTATGTGAAAAAATAAATAATACATAAAGATAATGCACATAGTTACGTGAATAAAATACTCAGGTATTAACATTGGGTTTATGAGTATATACATACATTTCAAAGGTATTATTTATAAAGTAGCAGGTATCTTTGAATTTTGTTAAGGTCCTACGACGACGGAGAATTTTCTAAATGAGTTTCTACAGGTTGTATTATTATGTTATGGGTCAAAATATTTTAAAAGTGAATTGTTTATTCTATTATGTGGAAAACACCCAAAGTTCTAATAGTAGATCACAACCCGTTCTTTCAAGTAAGTAATACATTTATCTTATGTTACTTAATAAAAATGAATTTAAATTGCATCAACTGTTAAATAGTCTCGTAGTAGCGGAAGTGTAGCATAGTAATAAAAAATATTTTAACTAACTTCTTTATAATTTCATTTACTATCCACAAGTAGATATTGAATATTTATTGTATATGTATAGTGGTATTTTCCTATGGGATTATTGTAAACGTGTACTCTTTGTATTTTAATATTCTCCAGAAATTGGTGAGAATACTATCATGTTGAATTTATCTTCGGTTACCACTAACAAGGGGGTATATGATACCCAGGATATATAGTGCATGTAGGTTTATGCATATGTGTACCGAGTATAAACACGGACAATAAAGGTATCTATATTGATATCTAAGGTATTAGCCGTAAAATATCAAGTATCCATAAATATAGTTGATTTCTTACAACGTCGGTCAATTCTCTAAAAAAGGAGGCATAAAAGAACTAGGTGAGAGCATGACCTATGTTATTCTCTATTATACTATGATGAAAAAGTTCAACAAATGTTGAACCACTTGCAAGAATTTTAGTTTTTAGATATGGACAATGCTAGACGCTAACGAATATAAATTGCAACATTGGTAGAATGATCATCAATGTGAATTGGATTGGAAAAAAAAAATTATGAGTACGATGTAAACACATATGCACGTATATATTTTAAGTTTGAGTATTTATTCAGGAAAATTATAATTATATTTTTTTATAAAAAAAAAAAAAAAAACTGGTTGAAAGCAAGCCAATTGCACACATCCACTAGAAAATAACATCTTAGGAGTACTTTAATGAATGAACAGTAAACAACAACATAACGTTTTATTTTCTGTAAACAGTCGCGTACAATTATTGAGTACATGAAAAACATAAATGAGCATATCTATTTCTTTTGGGAGTATCTTGTTGGCAGTTAAGGAGTATGTCGTGGCCGCTCATTCATATTTTCTACGAGTTCATAAAAGTGTCATGCTACATTCAAACTATTCACAGAAGCAACAACAAATAACATCGGTGGGTTGTTGCACCATATGCACGGACAAGTACATGTACTTTATTCATTTTTTCCAATTCAATCCTGAAAACCAAAATAATTCCGAATAAATTTACCGAGATCATCAATTCAATATAGAAACTTATATACCATATGTACGTTATGAATCGAATTTTACGCGTCATTTGGAGGACCTTCTAATACAGAAAAAATATCAAAATAAAAAAATAATAATAATAAGTGTAGATTTTTTTTTTCTAATGAGAAAAATTATAAAAACTTGAAAAATAGTACTCCCTCCGTCATGTAAATTTATGCCAATTTGACCGGGTACGGATTTTAAGAAAAGTAGGTAAAAAAAAATTCCTTTTATGATAAAAATAATAGAAAAAGTGGTATTTTTTACTAAAAAGAGAAACGGAAATAAGTTTGAATGATAACTAAAGAAAGAAAGTAGGAATAAGTTTGGATGACAAGGGACTATTAATCATACAAATAATAAATTACTAACTTACCGAAATGACCAGGGCAAATAGCCGCACCGCACTGTGACATTTTGTTGTTGCCGAAAGGTAGAATTGCCGAGGTAGTACAAGTATATGTCAATGATCTCACATTTGATCGATTGATAAAAAATAATTCGATTATGTCATTAGAATAAACGAACACCAACCTAAGTTCTCACACAGTTTCTCTTAAAAAAAAGACATAGTTAATTGATAGCAATCAACCAATTGCCATATAAAAAACGCGCCTTGTGATGGTGACAGAATGAGTTGTTGATTCTTTTTCGCCATTTTTCGGTAAAATCGATT